GCCTCTGCGAGTGCCGGCGGTGCCGCGCCCCGCCCGTGGTGGATGGACGCCGTGCTGCTGCCGCCGCCGGCGTCCCCGCTTGGCAGCCGTGGCCGTGGCCGGCGGCGCGTCGAGCTGGTCGACCACGACAGCGACTGACCTGTATTTTCCCTTTATGCCTCTTTGTCTTTACAATTCACCTAATTAATTTTTGTTTTTTTCCTCTTTTTCAAAAATGCAATGAAGCCGCAATGCAATAGCCCGCAATGCAATAGCCCGCAATGCAATAGCCCGCAATGCAATAGCCCGCAATGCAATAGCCCGCAATGCAACAGGCCGCAATGCAATTCCACTAGCCCCCTACTAGCCACGCTGCCGTTCGACATTCTCTGCAACATCTTCGTTTACGCGCAGTGGCCAACGCTCGCGCTAGTGTCGCGCAGCTTCTACCAGGCGTCGCGGTCGATGGGCGTGCGCGCGCGCTTCTACCTTGTTGAGTTTGGCCGCGACCGCGTGCTGGACGGGCTGCTGGGCCTGGCGGCGCGCCGGCCGCGGGCGCTGCGCCAGGATGTTGTTCTGCTGCTGCTGGCGCTGGGCGCCGACCCGCGCGCCGACGACCAGTGGATTCTGCGCCATGCCTGTGCCCACGCGTGGGCGCCGGTGGTGGCCAAGCTGGCCGCCATGCGCCACAGAACGCGCAGCGCCGCAGAGGCCAGAAGCAACTCTGGAAACCCTGGCCGGGCGCTGGACGCCTGGCGTGGCGGCGGCAGTGCTGCGCCGGGCGCTGCTCCGCTAGGCGCGCTGCTGGTGGACGTCGGCCAGGACAACGGCGCGGCGCTGCGCATTGCCGCAGCTAGCGGCCACGCCGACATTGTGCGGCTGCTGGTGTCCAGCGGCGCCGACGTGCACGTGCAGGACGACGAGCCGCTAGCGCGCGCCGCCTCCGCCGGCCACGCGGCAGCTGTCCAGGCGCTGCTGGACTGCAACGCCGACGCCGCCGCCGACGAGTCTCGCGCGCTGCGGCTGGCCGTTCTGGCCGGCGACAAGAACCTTGTGTGCGTGCGGCTGCTGCTGGACGCCGGTGCGCAGCCGCGCGCCATGGGCAACAGCGCGCTGCTGTCTGCCGCCTACCACGGCGACGGGCTGCGCCAGCCGGCGCAGTCGGCCCAGCGGTACCGGTCGCGCGCCTCGGCGCCGGCCCCGGCGTCACCACCGGCTGCAGCAACCAGCCATGTTGCGCTCGTGCGGCTGCTGCTGGCGCGCGGCGCCGACCCTGATGCGCGCGGCGGCCGGCCATTGGTCTTTGCCAGCTCGCGCGGGTCGCCGCTGACGGTGGCTGCGCTGGCCGGCGCCGGCGCCGACGTGCACGTGCAGGATGATGAGCCGGTGCGTGCGGCGGCGGAGCGCGGCCATGCCGAAGTACTCCGCTTGCTGTTGCTGCGCTTCGGTGCACATGCCAGTGCCCTGGAAGAGAGCGCCCTGCAGGGTGCTGCGCGCGGCGGCCATTTGCCCTGTGTGCGCCTGCTTCTGGAAGCTGGCGCCAATGCGGCGGCTGAGGGCGGCCGCCGCGCACTGGTGGCTGCAGCGAGGGCCGGGTGGGTCGATGTTGTCGCGGAGCTTGTGGCTGCGGGCGCTGACCCGGCTGACCCTGAGTTTGTTGCCTGTGCAGCCAGATCCGCTGCCCTGCGTCGCATGCTGGGAATGCCCCCGCCTAACTGTCTTTTGAACTCTGTGTGATTTTTCTTTTTTCTAATAGAAAGCGCTTGGAATATTAAAATATATGTGTATGTGTGTACATATATATATATATTTGCGAAACCTTTTTTTAAAAAATGTTACTGTTCCCTTTTTCCCTCCTTCTTGTTACTGCTAAAGTATTGCTGATCTTTTTGCAGAATGTTTCAGGAAAATAAGACTCCGCTTCGAAGAATGGAGGATGGAAAAAAATGTACTTTACAAACACAATATTATACTCAAGCCCGCGTCAGCGCCAACGCCAACACCAGCGCCAACGCCAACACCAGCGCCAACGCCAGCACCAACACCAACACCAACGTCAACGTCAACACCAACACCAACATTCCCTTGTCCATTGTTCATAACTTATTTACTCCTTATGCCTTGCGCCTTGCGCCTTGTTTTTGCGTTTTCTTGCTCCTTTCTTATCCTCTTTTTTCTCTTTTCTCATTATTGACTTTTTTTGGATACTACTTATCTCTCTAATACTTTATTTTGAATATTAACCATGATATCGTCAACCGACGCCAGTATTCAACCAAACAACAGCGACGACCACCACCAAGATCGCTACGTTGATCACTGGCTGCCTGAAATCAACTCGCCTAGTCTTTCGATAACCATGCTCTCGCTCGCCCAGGACAAGAAGGATAACTCAGAGGCTGTCAATTCTGCCAATTCTGCCTATGAGCTTGTTGCCAAGGAATGGAAGCCAACCATACCAGCCTTTGCTCCCACTCCCGCTTCCATTTTAGCTGTAATTGGTGAGAAAGACGAGGAACAGATGGACTTCTCTTACCTGGACACCATCAAGTCCACAGGCTACGCAGACCCAAATGGTCCGGACACCAACCTATCCCTGTCGATCCTTCCCGCCACTCAGCATCCTCCGCAGCAGCATGGGGAGGTTACTACGAAGGAAATGCTGGACCATCTGGGGTTTGATTTCGACTTTGCCACGGATCCTGAAATAGGTGACATAAACAACGCCTCACTGTTCTCAATCTACGACAAGATCGTCAACCTCACAAGTGACTGTCTACTGCCAGCACCTACTTCGCCCGAAGCACCCACTCAAATGCAACAACAGCATCAGCAGCGGCAGCGGCAGCAGTGGCAGAAGGAAGTGGAGGATTATCAGCAGGTTGGAGTGGGAAAGTCGGCGTCCCTGGGAATGCGGGTTAGACAGAGAAGGTCAAGCATTACTAGTCTTTTGACGAAAAGACCGATTCGATCCAACAATGTTGGCGATGCAATTTTGGCGAATCCAACTGTGACTGTGTCCAAGGGTGAGCAAGTCATTCAGGTGGACAATGAGGTTCCGGCTGCTGAGCCTGCTATGTCTGCTACACCTGCTGCACATGCTGTGTCTTCTGCGTCTGCTGTGTCTGCTCTGTCTGTTGCTGAGGCGCAGGCCGATGCAAAGCTGGACGAGGGCAAGTCTGAAGAACATACTGCTGCTTCTGCTTCTTCTTCTGCTGGTACCCAGTCTTTTTCGGATAAACCCGCGGCTGATCTGACTGTTTTCTTTGGTCCTGAGCAGAAAGGAGGGGAAAAGAAGGGGCAAGCAGAGGAGGAAAATAACCATGTATCCGAGGCTAAGCAAAAGCCACAGCAGACTGTCGAGAACACCAGGCCCTCCACTGCTACTCCGGTTATGACCACAGTCGCCATAGCTATTTCTGCCACCACAGCTTTTTCCTCTGTTAGGGCTCCCGTAGTTACCAGCGCCGAGACCGAAACCTCTGACATCAGCGCAAGTGCAAGTGCAAGTACTAGTGCAATTGCAAGTGCTAGTGAAATTGCCAGCAGGGAAGTCGGCAGTAACACCAGCAGCAACGACAACCACAGCGATAACATTTTCTATGACAACCCTGCCGCCACCATTATCCCGGGCAACAACAACCAGCAGCAGCAGCAGCAGCAGCAGCACCAGTCTTCGAGCACCCAGTCCGTGACAAACGTTACTCGGCGCCCAAACCCAGTGTCTCGTAACTTGGATCGCCGCTCGTCAAGGATTCTCGATGGAATTTCACGCAAAGTCCAGCATGTTCGCCAGACCACCTCTATGGTCTTCAGGCGCTCAGCCACCTCACATGTACCGGTTATTCCGCATACTTTTTTTGATAACACCCGCGGATTAGCCGCTGCCAACACCACCAATGCAGAGGACAATCAGGTTGGAATTAATGTGGACGCGCATGATGTGCCCAAACCCGAGGACAGCAGCATGGTAAATGCAGAGGCTGGAGCTAGGGCCGGAGCTGGGGAGGCGGAGGAGTATGTACATGTTGGGACATCGGATGAGGCCGATTTTGAAAAACCCTTGGTTGGTGCTACGACGGAGATAAAGCTGCCAACGGGTGGCCGGATTACAAGAACGCTTATGTTGGCAAAGAGGAGCACCAATGTGGCTGTTAGGAACAGCGTAACTCGTGTAAAGAGCATATTTGTTTTGAAGAGATCTGTCGCTGCTTAATTATGACGCCGGAAATGTTTTCAACAATTTTTTTTTATTTATTTCTCATTTTTCTTTTCTTTCAATTATAATATTTTAACATTAACAATATTAACATTTTTCTTTCAAAGAAGTACATTTCATGTCGTTGACTGTAGTCAATCTTTCTTTTATATATGCCTGTGAGAAATGTTCTAATATGTATTCTAATATATTTTTTGTCGAGATATAGAACACAAACTACACTGTAACAAATCCCCAACCTGCGGGATTATTTTCAAGCCTGTGTTTACCCACTAATCTTTACATTTTATTAAAAGGTAAGTGCATTAACACCTTTCGCCAGAGGTAGAACAAAGGCAGCACACATGCAGTCTCGATATAAGCATTCTTTAATTTGAAGTCATACATGTATGCGTTCTTTTTCACATAGTATCGCCCATCTATTCCGTTTCATTTACCGCCAGTCCATATCATATTTTCCACGAGTATACTGGATGATCGGCAATGACAGCGCATGTACAGTTTGTTTGTTTTCCTACTTCATCCCGGATTGCCATTCCACAAGCATACGGATCTTACCTAAAAAAATTAGTGATATTGAAAGCTGCACAGCGACTAAGCCTCTTTTTGTTCATGTATTGCCGATGTCACTCCCCACGCCTACCCCCTTAAATATCATTTGTTTTGTTTTTGTTTTGTTTTTGCATTGTTTTTTTGCGCGGCACGAAAAAAAAAGCTGGACACGCTTGAAATTGTTTAAATGCACATAATCCGAACGAGTTCCTCGGAGTGGGACAGCTTCATGCCAAACTGACTTTCTATAAATTATTTTGACAATGACGCTCTCCCACCTGTCCATCTTTTCTTTTTTATTCCTCCCAATCAACCATTATATTTTGTTGCACTCTAAACAAATTACTTTAAATCAGCACATTGCAATTTTTCTTTTTCTTTCAATAGCCTTATTGCTATGTTTTCTGCTTTTGCGCCCTTTAGTCCTCGTCTCTGGACCTCGGCTAATGTCAACAATGCCATTTCCAAGGCGCTTTGCACCATTTCTACCAGCGGCAGGTCTGCTCAACACTCATCCACCACCCTAGTTACCACCGGCTTGACCAATGTTGACGGCACTCTAACTGTCTCCCATCTGCCCATCATCCCCGCTACCACCACCGAGTACACGTACATCCAACCCCAGAATAACATGTTCAGCTCGCCGCTGCTCGACAAGCTTTTTATCCAAGCTCAAATCGACGACATCGAGAGAGAGAACCAGCAGCTGCGCGCAGAGATTATTAAGATACAATCGGCTAACAAGCGTCTTGAGGGCGATATCCCAGAGTACCTCGCGGAAAACGCAGAGATTGTTCACGAAAATATACTCTAGACCAAGCTGCTCCAAAAGCTGCTGCCCGTGGTTGATGCACAGACCCGGGAGGTCGAGGAGCATGCCGAGATGTATAGGGAGCTGAAAACGGTGAATGAAAAGTTGCGCAAACAGGCCAAAATGATGGATTCCCGGGTTCAGTCGGTTCGTACTGAGATAAACGTTGCGTATAGGACCATCATAAACTTTGGCAGCCGAAAGAGCGAGGCTGGTAGGGGGTATGATAACTTGTACAAGATGTGCGAGCCATTCAAGTATTTTGCGGATTAGCCAGTGGACAACAAGGTGGCGGACAAGGTGGCGACTGTGTAGATTTTATTTCCTCTTCTTTTGAGGGTCTGGCTAGTCCGCCCAAAAAATAAAAGCTGGATGTCTATATTTCGCAGCGCCGCAGCTTGTAACCCAACTATCCTTTGAAATCTTCGATTTTCTTTTTAATTTTTCTTTTCTTTTTTGTTTACTATAAAAAATATATTTATTGAAAATTCAAACTGCGCTAATGTGCTCCAGGTACCCAATGGTTATCAGATGCTCAATATCCGACCGGTGCAGGTAATGCTGCGACCCAGCCTGCAAGTTGACCACACCATTCTCCGTCACAATTTCTCCGCAGTCCTTAACCACCCGCACCTCAATCAGCAAGTCCCTGGGCGGAAGCTCACCATTAGCCGTCCAATCCAGGGACTCATTGTGACAAAGCTGCCCCTCAACCGCATCCCTATACGCCGAATTCAGCCTGGCGTACTCCCGCGCATAATTCAGCTCTTCAGGCGCCAGCCTTACCGACAATGCAGAAGGTGCCAAGGATGGAGCCAAGTGTAGCGCCCACAATAGTGACCTTACAAACTCTACCCGCCGGCGATGGTACGCCAACAGGCATCTCTTGTTGCGATTCAGCGTCAGCAAATATAGCGCCGCCTGTGCATTCGTGTTCTCCACAAACTCATTCCCACCAGTCATCCGGCCACCCATGCTGCTGCCATCGATGAGGTTGCCATCCGTGTCCTGTGTTTGTAGGTTGCTTCGCATGTATGTTTGTGAGGTCGCCAGGTTGCTCCCTCCTGATGCTGCTGCTGCGGATGACGTTTGATTATACGCTGTGGATGTGCCTTGTTGGCTGCTATTATTAGAGTTGTTTAGGCTGGCTATCATCTCTTCAATGCGTGTCCATAGGTAGCGCGTCTCTTGCGTTACCAGTCGCACTTGCTCCTCGTTGTATGTCGGAATGTGCTCGGCCGTTATGTCCTTGGCCTCCTTGACCAGCCTGAATGCCTCGTCGCCAAGCATTTCAAGCGAAATATAATTTTGTTGGTGATTGCAATGAGCTCGTTTAAATGGAAGAAAATGAGTGAAATAAAAATGCAAATGCAAATGAAAGTGAAAAAACGAAACAATTTTGTTTATTCGCTTGGTGAGAATTATCTGGTTTACGATTTTCGATAATTCGACCTGATCGATTTGACGTGATGCAAAAAAATCAATTTGAAAAATTAGTAGTCGTCATCACTGGCTTGATACATGTACTTGTAGCATTGTGTTGTGATGTGCCTACTAGCCAAATAATAGAGCAATTCCTTGTAGATAAGCGGTCAAAGAAAGCAAGTAAACGGGCAAATATGTGCACAAACAATTTTTTGTTTTATGTCTGGCACAGATAACATTGCATATAAACTGATTACAATACCTGGCTGTTGCATGCTCTCGATCTCAAGGACAATATCAACCAATCCAAAGCAAGCATGCCATATCAATGGGATAACAAAGTAATGGGTGTAGCTGCGTAGAGCCAAAATGCAATTGTTTTATTTTTAATAATACTTTTATGCATAGCTCCACTTTTGTACAATTGTGTTGGGCATTTTTGTTGGCATTTTGCGTTTTGCATTACAATCGCATACAAAACGCCGCTCGAGTTGGGGATTCTTACACAGCACGAGGCAAAATAAATGGCCGATAAAAATGGATGAAACAATGTTTATTTATATTTGCACGGTGATAAGCAATTTCCTCACCCAACACTTACAGAATGTGCGCACTTTTGTCATTTATCCGCCATTGTTTATTCATTCCAGGGGCCTCATCGTGTTTCTCAGGGCAACATTTATTGGGCATCTTTCCTTGCTCAAAAGTTTCTAAATATAAACAACCAGGGACAAGCGAGGCATATCATGGCGCACTCTGATAAAAATAACAAATTGCGTGTTAACAATGACATTTCACGCAATATTGGGGTATGCTTTCCTCCCAACACAAAAATGCATGCAGTTATTTTTGTAAAAAAAGCAATTGAAACATGGCCATAGCTTTGGTCATAACTTTGCCCGAGTGCATAGCACACCCGCAGCTAGATGCTCAAACTAATGGGCAATTCCGTGCTTCCCCTCCACTCCCCTGTCTTCTTTGTGTTTGGCTTTAAATCCCAATTATATTTTTGTATTTCCACCAATACCGACATACACTATTGTAATATTAAAATGTATTTGCTATGTTTACTCAGTAAATCCGCCTTTCATTTTGGAATGGTTAGCACTTTAGAATATAATATATAAATAACCCAAGCTTTCTCCTCTCCCCTATTTCCAATTACCTACCAATAGCTCCAAAACCTACACTAAAAGGAACATCACCACCACCAATAAAATTTACTTCATCATTGTTTTGTAAGCGCTTTATTTTTGGACTATTTTAAAAATGATCTTCAAAATCAACATTTACACCATTACTGCCGCGCTATCAGTATTGTATATGCCCTCAACCACACTCGCCAATCAAACTGACTGTGTGACTTCCTTCAATCCCAAGGCTGACTACTTCCCAGACAAGGTCCAAGTCAAGTACAATTCCGGGTTCAGTATTACTTACAAGGGCAACTCAAAGCATATCCGCAATAACATTTCAGACGAGACATACATTCTGTACCAATGCGGCACACCGATCCCCAACGATGCTCGGCCGACCCCGGCGAATAGCTCTCAGGTTGGCGGCTGGACCAAGTTTATGGCAGTCCCTGGGACTAAGGTAGTTTTGGACTCGGCCCCTGCCAGCGCCATCATCGAGTTGCTTGATGTTCAAAATTCAGTCGCTGCCTCATATGAGCATTTTGCGATCACTTCACCATGCATGCAAAAGGTCATTGGCGCTCTACCACGCGTGCAGCAAAACTTTGGTACGCCCAAGGCAAGAAGAAGAAGAAGCATAATCGACCGTGTTCCTCGTGTATTCTACGACCTGGCAATGGAGGAACTACAGTGGACGTTCACGACGTACGGAATGAGTGACCCACACTCGATCGCTGTCAACCCCGAGGATGCCAGCGATATGTTGGGCAAGGCCGAGTGGATCAAGTTTGTTGCTGCCTTTTACAACAAGGAAGCACGGGCCAATGAGATTTTTGACCAGATCGAGGCTCGCTACAACTCAGTTAAAAGGTCAGCTGCAAATGGAAGCAAGAGAACAATTGGCTTTGCTCGCTATAGCAAAGTCGCCAATGGCACTGTGGCTGGCTGGACCATTGACCAGCCGCAGCAGTGGATGGCCCAGGGCCTAGCTGATGCTGGCTTGAACGTTCATTCTGGTGACATGACAAGTTTTAAGAGCGTCGACGATTTCTACAAGGCCGTCTCTGGATGGGACATCCTCATTGATCTTAGCAGTGAGCCACTACCACACGGCGGCGCCGCAATTCCCGAGTGGAGCAACCTGGTCGAGGGCTACAAATTCAGCACCAACAACAAAGTTGCCAAGTCCCTGCCGTTTTTTGCCAGCAATTCTATCTACAGATCCGACTTGATCAGCAGCTACCAGAACGCAACTGACTTTAGCGAGCACTTGCAGGTTCAGCCCGATGATCTTCTCAGGGACTTTGTCAAACTTGCCACAGCTTCATTGGGCGCAAAAGACATCAAGTGGTTCCGCAATATTCCCGGAAAAGTGCCAGTTCATTGGGTTTCGCCTGCCGACTGCAAGAATTAAAACAAAAGAATTGGAGGCACCAAACTTTATTGTTCCTGGATTTTTTTGGTTTATACAACACACTAGTGAAAGTGTATTTTAGAATTTCCAGACATTTATAGCAAAAGTCCAAATTTTTAAGCGGGGAGAGGGGGTTCAAAACCCTCTTCTTGCGCAAAAATGCACCATTCGAGTTGGCTGAACCTGGGTTTACAGCGACGCTCAAGCCAAAGCCCAAGACCAAGCGTGTGCACAAGAATCCATCTGTACCTGCTTCTTCTCTTTAAAAGAAGCAGCGAACTGATTAATATTGTTAACCATAGTGGTCTATTGCCGCTAGTTTCTAAACACCTTTCAGGTTGTTATTCAATATATGGGAAGGATGTCGATTTGCAGGATACTTATAGCCTCATTCTTTTTTTTAGTGTATAGGAAACATAAATTAAAAATGTTTAACTTAGATCAATATTTTGTTGGTTCGCTGGAACCGGCTGGCTTTGGAAAAGGTCGCCACCGGACCGCGTGCGCTCAGCACCGGCATGTTGCACACATGCGGTCTATTGCTGGCAACCCCCTGGTCAGCGACATCAATACCGATAGCTTCCGCGGACCTGTCCCCGGAAGCATTGTTGCTGCGATGGTAGTGCTCAGACACGCTCTCATTGCCTTGGCCCGGGGCAGAAAACTGCCTGTTCAAGATGCTGGCGCGCAAGGGATACAAAGCGCGTACCTGTGATCCGCGACGGAGCTTGTACAGAACCTCAGCACGGCCATTTTCGTAACCCTGAGCGCTCGTCTCGTTGAAAAACACACGGCTATCATCAGCATGTGGGTGCTGGTGGATAGCAGAGCGGTTGAGTTCCTTTTGGTTTATTCCATAATCCACCACCACGCTTGACGAATATATAGAGGCCATGGACTCCATGTCATCGACAAGCTGTGGTCTCCGCAATTCTGGAGGCGGCTGCAGTCGAGATTCCTCGATGGCCGACTTTTGGACCATGGTCTCGAGCACCCGCAGGCGAGCCATGAGCATCATCTTCTCGCGCTTCTTAGGGTCGATGGTTGGTTTAGGGATGGGCTTGCGATGGCTGACCTCGGAATGCTGCTGGCGGCTTCGGCTTCGGTTGAATTCGGGCATCCGGCCTGGACTAAGACAGGACGCAGTTTCGGCATACGATGCGGGCGGCTGAACAATATCAAGAGCTTGCAAAGCGGAGGCGGAGGCGGGTGTCACGATGCTCGGAGAAAACCGAACAGCAGAGGCTTGCAGAGAGACGGGCGCGTTGCTGTGCCCGAACGCCAGACCGGCGGGTTGGAGCGGCTGAGAGTTGGTGATCGACGTGCTGGCGTTGCTCCTCCACTGCTGAGTGGCAATATCTGTGCTCACAGCAGGTGACGAAACCAGCTCCATGCTTTCCTGTCTGCTGCCTGAATGGCCATTCTGACCATCGACTTGGGG